GCCTAAGCCCGGGAGTTGGAAGTTGCTCTGAGCAGTGTGATGCCATGGCACTCTACTGAGGGTGATAAAGTGAGACTCTGTCTCTACAAAAAAAAAAAATAATAATGAAGCCTGGTGAGGAGGCCCAACCCTTATCCCCAGTTCTGTGACCTGAAGCCTATTCATGAAGGCAGCACCGATCTTGTCCCATGCTTATACCCACAATAGAGCTTGAAATAAAAAAGAACACTAGGAATAAGACCATGAGCTCTGTGAAGTGAGAGATGGTTTCTCTCTTGTTCACCACTGTATCCCCCCACTACTGATACTCTGTCTGGGACACAGCAAGTGCCCCCAAAGTAACATCTAAATGAAAGGCTAACTTAAAGTGAGGAAAGAACAACTTAAGATGTCATAGTGGACAATGTTCTTGGGCAAATCCTGCAATGTCAGGAGGGATCGTCCTCCTTTTCTACCACCTTGAGATGAGGATGATGCAGCCTTTGAGTGGTCACAGAAGTCAAGACATCTTGGAGGGGTGGTGGCTCCCTCCGTGTTTCTTCCTTTTTGGTCTGGGGATGGGGTCACTGGCTTCTCAGGCTTGTCCAAGGCCAGAGAGCGACGAGGCTTCTGGGCCCGAGTCTGGCGTTCTGAGGAAGCAGGGAATCAGGTGTCAAAATGGTCTGGGGCCCCCTTGAATGTTGCCAGAATATGGCTCAGGTGGAGGCCTTCCTTGCTGTGGGTCTGGCAACCTGTTTCAAAGCTTTGCCTAGATGGGTCACTCATCAACTCTTCTGGCTATACCCTGATTCCCAACTAGAGGCCACTTAGTCCAAGTCCTGTCCATATGTTAGAATTACCTTGTGAGCTCTAAAAAAATACTGGTGCCCAGGTTCTACCCCAGAACAGTGAAACTTCTGAGTGAGAGGCATCAGCACTAGGCCAAGGAGGAGCCAAAAGTTGATCCCAGGCAAATTGTCCAGTAGACCTGCCAGAGTGATGGCATCCCCGGAGCAGAAGCCCTGTTTCCTGTTCTGCCTCCACTCATAGCTTATACCTGGTGCTCTGGTCAGCTTCTTTTTCTGAGGTTTCCGGGAAGCTCCCTGAAGACGGGACTTGCGTGAATGTGGAGAGCTGGAAGGGGTAGAGTGTCTCCGCCTGGCTGGGCCTGAGGCTGGGTTCCGACCCAGCCCTGAAGATAGAGAAGGAGACAGGTCAGACTGCACCCCACAACCCCAATTCTCACTTGATTTTATCTCCTGACCTTCAGACGCTTCTCAATCCTAGGGCAAACAGGTCCCCAGGCTGACTTTACAAATGTGAAAACTGAGGCCATGGGAGATCAGATTACTGAGGCCAACCAGGAGGACAAAACTCAGATTTCCCCAGTGCTATTCTGGACCTTGGTAGAGAGAGCCAATAACACCAACTCTTCCCAGATGTTTTGCCCTCTTGCCCACACCAAACCCAAACTGGGTCCTGCTCCTACCTTCCTCAGAACAGTGAGAGTACCACACCCACTCTGGGGTTCCCCTGGGCTGCTCCCTCTGACCTCAAGATTCTTCCTCCTTAACATCTCCCAAATCTACCTACTTCTCTTCATGTTTTCAGCTACAGAGCCAGATTGGGCTTCATTATTTCCTGTCCAGATCATTCCTAAAAATATCTTTCCTGATCTCCCTGACTCCAGTTTCTCATAATTTCATGACCAATCCTCTAGATGTCAGGGACCTGCTCTAAAAACAACAAATCTGATCATGACTTTTCCCTGGCATAAAATCCTTCGGTAATTCTCATCTTCTTCATCACCCTCTAAAGACAGGCACTAGAAGCCCTTCAGGATCTTTTCCCTGCCATCCTTGGCCCTGCCAAACCACTCTAGACTCATCTCCTACCATTTTGTCTCCAAAGTTTATATTCCAGTAACAATGACAGAACCCAAACACATCCAGTATTGAGTGACTCATATGTGCCAGGCACTGTGTTATGTTTCTTTATGTGTATCTACTCATTTACTCTTCATGATAAACACAAAGAGGAATGCTAGTGTTAGTCTTGTTTTGCAGACAATGGAACTGAAACACAGAGAAGTTAAGGTCAGAGAAACTTTACTGAGTCAGGATCTAGCTCAGAAGCTCACACACGTCATCTCAATGCTACACAGTCCCTCCAATCTCAGCCAACTACTTGCCTGTCCCCAAATACTCCACGTATGTCTTCTCATGACTGCACATTCTTGCTCATATTATTTCCTCTCACATGAAGTCTTCCTTTGTTCTACTGTCCTTGACATCCAGCCCTAAGGCCTCTCTCCTCTAAATTCCCACAGCATCTTGCACTAATTTCTGACTTTGTCCCTTCTACCTGACCTTGAAGTCCAAGAAGGCCTGGACTCTTCTAAGTCAGTTAGTGTCCCTAATGGCCAGAACAACATTGGCAGGTAGCAGGTACCAAGAAATGTCAGATGAACTACTCACCCCCAAGTCCACCTTCCCCATCAGTGGTATGGAATTTGAGCAAGGCCTTGGCCACATCAATGCTTCTCTGAAGGTACTGAATGTAGTTCAGGACATGCAGCAATATCTCCTTCTGCCCCCCCGACAAAGAAAGACAAAGTTGAGCACAAGGGCCAGGACTCAGGACATGAGACTGCTGGGGATCAGAGACAGAAAGGCTCTAGAGCCCCATTCCCCCACCCCACCACCAAGTATTCCTCAGTTGGCAGAGGCCTTCCTATTCTGCTGTTTAGTCCTCATTAGTCCTCACCGTGGCCCAGTGTGATGGAGTTATAGTTAAAGGAACTGAGGCTCAGCATGCTAAAAAGATTTGCTAAGGCTAAGAGATGAAGTGGAAGGGCTGCAGTCTGAATCCAGGTCTGCCTGCCTCCTGGTCCAGTATTTCAGCACAAACTGCTTGGCTTCTCACCCCTGACCCTTTATTCATGCAAAGCCCTATCTGCAAAGCCCACCTCTTCTCCCTACAAACTCCCTCACCTGGCTTCTCCTTTGAACCTCAGCACAGAGGTCTCCTCCTCTAGAAGCACACCCACTTACCTGACCCCTCTCACCCAGGCTGGGTCAGCTGCTCCCTCCTCAGCACTCTCCTAATACCCTGGGCCTATCTCTACCAGCTCACTTACTACACTGTTTTATAATTATCTGTTTATATGTTGGTCTCTCCCACTGACTTTGAACTAAGAAACACTTACAAACTCATTCTACCTACTATTGAGAGATATTTAGGAGGGAGAATTAGTATGACCCTATGGTTGATGGAATGTAGTAGACAAGAAAAGGGTCAAAACATCCACTCCTCTAAACCTCTCTAAAGGCAAGTAGCACATTTCAGCTGGGATCAAATCTTTATCTTCCTGACCAGATTCTGAATTCCTAGAGAATGAAGACTGGGTCTCAAATTTATTTTTCTCCCTTTGTTGCAACCAGAACAGCTTCTGGCATCCACAAATCTTCCATAAATAGCTGATGATGAATGAGTAAATGAATAAACAAGAGGAAATAGAGCAAGAAAACATTATACCAAACCCTCAAGACCTGAGTTTCATATTAAGTGACTCCCACTGGGAACAAAGTGTTAATTTAATAGGTACTTGGAAAGGGAAACAACACGCTATGTGTGGAGCCTGTCATAGCTATGTCATTTTGGTCTCACAATATTTCTGGCAGCAGGAGTTATTTTTCCCTGTTTTACAGTTCAGAAACGTGAAGCTTATAGAAACTGGGTTGCCTCAGGAAGCTGCTCAGAGTCCTGCAGCTGTGAAGACAGAGGGCTGAGATCCAGGGCTGTTTGACTCCTAAAGAGATGATCTTTACCTTGTGCCTTGTCTATTACTCCGTCCTAGTTTCTCCTGCTTCCTTTGCAAAAAAGAATCCCTTAGGTTTCTAGTCATAAGACCACAGGATCCCAGAAATTTCTGTTTAGAGCAGGATCAATGGTATCACTGAAAGGGTTTCCCAGAACAGGTTTACCTGTTGCTATTTGAAGACCTGCCTCTTAAATCTGCCTCCCTTAGGGTATAAATCAGCCTTTATACCTTGGTTAGCTTCTTGGTCCCTGTCTTCAGGGCCACAGGTAGCAGCAATGCCAGCTCTTGCAGTTTGCTGGTGTGGTTTTTCCTTTGCTTCCTGTTTCGGGACAAGAAATGGTTTTGGTTAGGGCATCTAAAATTGAATTTAGGGGCTGGATGTGGTAGCTCGCACCTGTAATTCTAACACTGTAGGAGGCCAAGGCAGGTGGATTTCCTGAGCTTAGGAGTTCAAGACCAGCCTGAGCAAGAACGAGACCCTGTCTCTAAAAAAACCTGGGTGTTGTGCCAGGTGCCTGTAGTGGCACTTGGGAGGCTGAGGCAAGAGAATCACTTGAGCCCATGAGTTTGAGGTTGCTGTGAGCTATAATGCCAGGGCACTCTACTAAGAGTGACAAAGGAAGACTCTGTCTCAAAATAAATAAGTAAACAAATAAATAAGCAAAATCGAATTTAGCATTTGACTCCCAAACCTCCTGCCTCAGGGTTCTGTATCTCAGGGCTTCCCAACCTCTCCCTGGCTCTGGGCACACAAAAAAGAATCCCAGGTATCATCTACACTTGTCACTATCTTTTACTCCCCTAACCAATCAGTCACCAAATCTTGCCCGTTCCTCCTCTGTTCCATTCTCTTTATCCTCACAGTTCCTGCCCTAGTCAATGTCTTAACATCCTCATGGGTCTCCCAGCACCACCACCCTCAACCTGGTCTACCTCATCCATACTCTTTCTGAAATACAAATCTGATCAAATCACTCCCTTGTTTCAGATCTCTCAATGCCATCCTATTCTTAAGGATCAAGTTTAAACCCTTAATGTGGCCCATAATGCTCTTTATGGCCTGGCATGACTAACCATTCTGGTCTTGTTTCTTATTTATTTTGACTCTCTCATCAACTGACTCTCGTTCCATATGATGGATGAGGTACCTCTGCTATGGTCCCCCAGCCCCTGTGCTCACACATGTCTCTGACCCTTGTACTGGGATGTCAGCTGGGTATGGGGGCACCACTGTTATTTCTAGAACCTAGACCAGGGTCTGGTACATTGCAGGAACTCACTGTATATTTGCTAAATGAATGAATAAATAAGGGCATGAAAGAAGTTAACTCCTGGGCAGCTACATAACTTACAGGGCCTAATCTCTACATGCATAATTCATAATATGCCCATGCACACACACCTCCATCCCTCTCTCCTGACAGAAGGATTCTGCAAGCCTCTTCCAAATTACACTCCATTGCCACTGTGGTTCCTTTGGGAATGCTTGAATGCCTCTATTGCCACAAATCCTTGTCCCACTTTCCTTCAGGGCCCAGTTTGATTGCCATCTTGCTCCCTTGCCTTCCTTCCCCACTCTTAATGTCTATAATACTTTGTGTCACCTGAAGCATGGTGAAGCCAAAAGCACTCCCTTGATATAGGTGTGTGTTTAGTTCCAACTCACACCCATGAACTGATACTTCCTCTTTGCCAGGCCTCTATGCTGGCAGGGAATCAAAAAAGGAGAAAAATCACTCAGTCACTGCCCTTAGGGAGATGGGGGTGCAATATGAGAGATGCTTACCTTCCTAACCAAAGTCTAAATTCCTAAATGAATCTTATTTTTTTTTGCAATTTTTGGCCAGGGCTGGGTTTGAACCTGCCACCTCCGGCATATGGGGCCAGCGTCCTACTCTTTGAGCCACAGGGGCTGCCCTCCTAAATGAATCTTTATCACTCAGTCATTCAGCAATTACTTATTGGCCATCTACTATGTGCCAGGTAACAGTTCTAGTTGACAAAGATAAAAGTATAAAGAACTGGCCAGGGTGCAGTGGCTCATACCTATAATCCTAGCCCTCTGGGAGGCCAAGGCAGGTGGATTGATTGAGCTCAGGAATTCGAGATTGACCTGAGCAAGAGTGAGACCCCATCTCTACTGCAAAAAATTAGCTAAGCATTGTGGGGGTGCCTGTAGTCCCAGCTAGTCAGGAGGCTGAGACAAAAGGAACTCTTGAGCCCAAGAGTTTGAGGTTGCTGTTAAGTACAACACCACAGTGCTCTACCAAGGAAACAGAGTAAGACTTGGTCTCAAAAAAAAAAAAAAAAAAAAAGATGAAGAAGGAAAAGGGACATTCTAGATAAAGGTAACACATGCAAAGGCCCTGTGGCATGAGGAAGCATAGAGAATAAACTAAATAAAACAGGAGTGTCTGGATCACAGAAGGCAAGGAGCCTGTGAAGTGAGACAAGACTAAAGAAGGAGATATGGCCAAGTTGAGGCGAGGTCTTGCAGGCCCATAGTACATAGGAGTTTTGGCTTTTTCTTGACCAATGGGAAGCCATTAAAGAGCTTTACACATTAGTTTACTCCCTCAAAACCTTTATGAACACAGGAGACCATACACTAATTAGGCAACCAAATGAAGGAATGAAAGAAAAAAAATTGCCAGTTGGTTTCCAATAACCTTCTGGTAGAAGCCACAACTTTGAAGGAAAGGGATATTGGGGTTCTATCCTTAGAGAAAAATTGAGTAGGCAGACTTGCCACCCATGGTTCAGTGGTCAAGGCCCACATACACTGAAGCAAGGGTTCGAACTCTGCCTGGGCCTGCTAAACAACAATGACAACTGCAACAAAAAAATAGCTGGGCACTGTGGCAGGGTGCCTGTGGTCCCAGCTGCTTGGGAGGCTGAAGCAAGAGAATCACTTAAGCCCAAGAGTTTAAGGTTGCTGTGAGCTGTGATGCCATAGCGCTCTACCAAGGGTGACATAGTAAGACTCTGTCTCTCCTTTTTTTTCTCAGCAGCAGAGTGTTTTTGGAATAGTGAGACTCTATCTCAAAAAAAGAAAAAAAATTTGAGGAGGCTGACCTCTTGAGTCCTGTCTAGTTTTGATATTTATTTTTTGCACACCTCTTTCCCTGTGGTTTGAACCCATCGCCCTTGGCATATGGTGCCAATGCCCTACCAGCTGAGCCACAGGCACCACCCCACCTCTGAGTTTTTTTTGTTTAAAAGATCCAATAGGCTTAGCGCCTGTAGCTCAGCAGCTAGGGCACCGCCACATACACCTGAGCTGGCAGGTTTGAACTCGGCCTGGGTGTGCCAAACAATGACACCTACAACCAAAAATAGCTGGGCATTGTGGCAAGAACCTATAGTCCCAGCTGCTTGGGAGGCTGAAGCAAGAGAATCGCTTTAGGCCATGAGTTTGAGGTTGCTGTGAGCTGTGATGCCACAGAACTCTACCGAGGACTACATAGTGAGACTCTATCTCAAAAAAAAAAAAAAAATCCAGTAAATCCCCTTTTATGCTTAAGCCAGTTTTAGGTAGGTTTCTGCTAATTGCAATTAAGAGTCTTTATTATTATTATTATTTTTTGAGGCAGAGTCTCACTTTGTCAACCCTGGTAGAGTACCATGGCACATAGCTCATAGCAACCTCAGACTCCTGGGCTCAAGTGATTCTCTTGCCGTAGCCTCCCTAATAGCTGGAATTACAGGCACCTGCCACAACACCCACCTATTTTTATTTATTTATTTATTTATTTTGTAGAGACAGAATCTTACCCTGTCGTCCTTGGCAGAGTGCCACGGCATCACAATTCACAGTAACCTCCAACTCCTGGGCTTAGGCGATTCTCTTGCCTCAGCCTCCCAAGTAGCTGGGACTACAGGCGCCTGCCACAATGCCTCGCTATTTTTTTGTTGCAGTTTGGCTGGGGCCAGGTTTGAACCTTCTAACCTTGGTATATGGGGCTGGTCCCCTACCCACCGAGCCACAGGTGCCACCCACATCCACCTATTTTTAGATGTGGGGTCTCTCTCCAGCTCAGGCTGGCCCCAAATCATGAGCTCAGGTGATCCACCTGCCTTGGCCTGCCAGAGTGCTAGGATTACATGAGCTCCTATGCCCGGCCCTCATTTTATTTATTTATTTTTTTGAGTAGGGTGCCATGGCATCACAGCTCACAGCAACCTCAAACTCTTGGGTGCAAGTGATCCCCTTGCCTCATCCTCCTGAGTAACTGGGACTACAGGCACTCACCACAATATCTGGCTTTTTTTTTAGAGACAGGGACTCACTTTTGCTCAGGGTAGTCTCGAACTCCTGAGCTCAGCCAATCCACCTGCCTCGGCCTCCCAGAGTGCTGGGATTATATCGCGCCTCGCCCTAAGAGTCTTTATTAATATAAGGACCCTTACATCTAGAAAGGGGAAAAGACAAATTGTTGGCGACCTGGAATTCCAGGAGGAATGGGCAGCAGTATAGCCATTCTTCATGTTGTTCCCTCTGAGCACAGTATCTAACTTAGAATGGTTCCATTTACAATGTTCCAGGTTACTATTTTTCAACTTTAAAGTGATGTGGGCTCGGCGCCTATAGCTCAACCAGCTAAGGCGCCAGCCACGTACACCTAAGGTGGCGGGTTCGAATCCCCA